TTCGTAAAAAGAAAGAAAGAAAAAGAAATAAACAATGATGAAATTGAGAAATAAGATGAGTTTACATGTTTTGTAATTCTAGAACTTATGCGTTTATGATATATATACCTACTCTCTCTCATCATATCTCTCTCTCCGTCCTCTCTATCTCCTGACCGCTGTCAGTCATAGTAGGCGAAGTTATATCGGAATCCTGTCTCCTTCTACTGCCTCCTACCGCCCAACGCTCTCTCTTCTCTCGATCTTCTTGGCGTCCGTTCCTCTCGCTTCTCTCTCTCATCTCTCTCTCTATCTCTCTTCTCTCATCTCTCTCTCTCTCTCTNATCTTAAAATTATCTTAAAACCAAGAAAAACAAACTTAAAGTTAAGAACATATGCACAACATGCAAATTAAAAGAAAACGAAGAGGGAAACACCTGATTAAGAGGCTGAAACTCAAAATCTTTCGGCAAATAAAAACATACAAAAGTTTACACAAAAATAACAGTTAAAATAATACAATGCGCTAAAATAACCCAAACCTGGTGTTACACTAGACTACATTGATAGGAAAGGCAGAGAAGAAGATTAAGAGGACGATAGGAAAGGGAGCTATTTACAGGGATACTCCTTAGAAAAGTTTAATTCCTACAGGTCTTTACAGAGAACCACCTCTACGTTCCCGTCATGGGGAAAGAGCGTAGACCGAGCTCAGCTCCGGGACACTGTCGATCGGGGTGTGAAAACAAGCCATATCTTGGCCAAACTCAGAGAAAATCTTATCTGTACAGGGTTTTTGCAGACGTTCAGGACGAAAGCGCGACCCTGCCAGAAACGAAGGCAGAAGGCGAGATAACCCGCGTGGCTCAAGGGCGGGTGTGAAACGAGAGAACAGGATCATTCCGCAGGACAGAAGCTGGCTGCTGGGCCCTGCCGCCGTCCATCTGGAGATGATCTGAAAAGTAGAAATAGTTTAGAACGAAATAAGTAGAAGAAACAGGGCGACTGAACATTAGAAGGGGGAAGATGGGATTAGTAATGTGTCGTCGGGTTGACTACCGTCAAGGGTGTTCCCCACTCCACGGGCTGGATGAAGGGAAGGCTCTGAAAAAGAACAGGCTGCAAGCGTGTTAGGATCCAAGTCATACAGGGTTATGTTACAGGACGGACTGGTAATCAACAGAGGGCAGCATGCATCCCGCCGGGGCTCTGGAAAAAGAAATATAATGGTAAGCGGAAGAAAAGGAAAAGTGTCTTGCTCCCTATTCGTCCTGTGAGGAATCAAGAAGCGTATTCAATCGAATCCAACTTTATCTTGGAATAAAAGTACATATTACATAGCTATGATGATTATGTAAAAGTACCAACATAATTATGTAAAATAAACAATATTATTAATTTATGTAATTGTTTGTCTTTTTGAAACATTTTATTTTAATATTACACAATTAACAAAATGTTAAATTTCAGTTGAAGTGTACACTGCACTTTACACGATTGTTCTGTTCAAAGTCTTTATTTATGTAATTGTTATTTTAGGGGTAACTTAAATGTTACAATACTCCCCCGAAAGAAAATCCATGGCTTGTTAGAGGTCGAGTCGGTTGGGTTGGCGAATTAGTCGACCAGAACGCGAGGAGATTTGAAAGGGTTTATCTTCAGGATGTGAGACATGGGCAGGTGCATTTGAAGGAGGTACGGTGTGAGCTGGGTTATCGGCCAGAGGCGTGGTTGGTGTAGGTTCCTTTTCTTCCAGGTATGCAGGCTTTAAGCGGTCAATGGATACCCAGTCGCTCTTCCCACCAATGCTGAGACGGTATGCCTTGGGGTTACGCTCCAAGACAGCATATGGCCCGCGGTACGGGCGGGTGAGGGGTGACCTGTGAGCGTCATTTCTTACGAATAAATATTTGCAGCTGTGGATCAGCTTGGGAAAGCCGGGGTGGTATAGAGGAGATTGGTTGTGGTGGCTAGAACTCTGGCGTTGCTCAGACTGTAGGGCCTCCTCCCCTGGAACATTTCCCAAACACCATCTCAGCAGGAGAAACTTGTAATCCCTCTTTTGGGGATGTTCGGATCCCGAGAAGAACCCAGGGAAGTTGAGCTTTCCAGTCTGACCTAGTGCAGCGCGCCATTAACGCTGCTTTCAGAGTACGATGGGACCGCTCCACCATACCGTTGGCTTGGGTATGAGGTGGTGGTGTGATGGATAGTTGATCCCATCAATTCTCCTAAAGATGTCCAAAGTTGAGATGTGAAGGCAGGTCCGCGGTCAGAGGTAATGTCGTCTGGAACGCCAAAACGACTGATCCATCCGTGTAATAGAGCTGCACAGTCTCGGGCAGTGGTGTGTTGCATGGGAATTGCCTCCGGCCAGCGGGTGGAGCGCTCTGTAGCAGTGAATAGATACTGAGCGCCGTCTGAAGGTGGAAGGGGTCCCACTACATCGACGTGGAGATGTCCAAACCGGCGCATGGGCTGCCGAAATTCTCCTGTGCTAGATTCAGTGTGACGACTTACTTTGCTCATCTGGCAGGCAACACAGCATCGAGCCCACTGTTTGATGTCTTTGTTCATTCCGTGCCAGATGAATTTATCCTTCATCAGACGAGCAGTTGTTCGTTCAGAATGGTGTGATAGACCATGGATGAGGTTGAAGATTTTTCGGCGGAAAGATTTTGGGATAAGGGGGCGCGGGCGACCTGTGCTTACATCACACAGAATGGTGCGGCCTTCGCCTTTATTTCATTAAAAATGGACTGAATAATAATTATTTTCTTCATTATTATCATTACTGTCATCATTTTTATGATTATCATTATAGTCATTATCATCATGATTATCATTATTATCATCATCATTATTGCAGTTATAATAATTATTATGCTAATTATTATTGCTATTTTTATCATTATAACTATTTGTATAATGATAATAGCAATAATGATGATCTCAGAAATAATGACAATAATGATAATTATAAAGACAATGATAATGATGTTATTATTATTTCGATTGCCATTATTAGTATGGAAAATATTGGAATAGAGTTAATTATTGCTATTATTGCAGTAATTATCAAGATTATCATTATGATTATGACTTTATCATTATTATCATTATTATTGTCATTATCATTGTCATTATCATCATAATTATCATCATAATTATCATCATTATTGTCAATAATAAAGGAATCATCATGGAAATCATCTTAATTACCTGAATTAATGTTAAATTCCTCATAATTACCATTAAAAAGCGAAAAGGTTTTTTTTTTCGATGTTTCTCTCAAAAAGGCTGTAAAGCGCTAGATTTTGCCGTTTTTTTCGACCATTGTGATTTTATTACTTCTGGCCTTTATTTCATTATAAATGGACTGAATAATAATTATCATCATTATTATCATTACTGTCATCATTTTTATGATTATTATCATTATAGTCATTATCATCATGATTATCATTATTATTATCATCATTATTACAGTTATAATAATTATTATGCTAATTATTATTGCTATTTTTATCATTATGACTATTTATATAATGATAATAGTAATAATGATCTTAGAAATAACAATGACAATAAAAATAATTATAATGACAATGATAATGTTATTATTATTTCTATTGCCATTATTAGTATGGAAATTATTGGAATAGAGTTAATTATTGCTATTATTGAAGTAATTATCAAGATTATCATTATAATTATGACATTATCTATATTATCATTATTATTGTCATTATCATTGTCATTATCACCATAATTATCATCATTATTGTCAATAATAAAGGAATCATTATGGAAATTATCATAATTAACTGAATTAATGTTAAAATCCTCACAATTACCATTAAAAGCGAAAGAGTTTTTTTCGACGTTTCTCTCAAAAGGCTGTAATACTCGACTTTTGGGATTTTATTACTTCTGGCCTTTATTTCATTATAAATGGACTGAATTATAATTATTGTCATCATTATTATCATTACTGTCATCATTTTTTATTATTGTCATTAAAGTCATCATCATGATTATCATTATTATCATTATTGCAGTTATAATAATTATTATGCTAATTATTATTGATATTTTTATCATTATAACTATCTATATAATGATAATAGCAATAATAATGATCTTAGAAATAATAATGACAATAATAATAACTATAACGACAATGATAATGATGTTATTTCTATTGTCCTTATTAGTATGGAAATTATTGGAATAGAGTTAATTATTGCAATTATTGCAGTAATTATCAAGATTATCATTATAATTATGACTTTATCATTATCATAATTATTATTGCCATTATCATTGTCATTATCATCATAATTATCATCATTATTGTCAATAATAAAGGAATCATCAGGGAAATCATCATAATTACCTGAATTAATGTTAAAATCCTCATAATTACCATTAAAAAGCGAAAAGGTTTTTTTTTTCGACGTTTCTCTCAAAAGGTTGTAATACGCTAGATTTAGCCATTTTTTCGACTGTTGGGATTTTATTACTTTTGGCCTTCATTTCATTATAGCTGGACTGAATGATAATTATTATCATCATTATTATCATTACTGTCATCATTTTTATGATTATCATCATGATTATTATTTTTATTATCATCATTATTGCAGTTATAATAATTATTATGCTAATTATTATTGCTATTTTTATCTTTATAACTATTTGTATAATGATAATAGCAATAATGATTGTATCTTGAATTTTATTCAAGATATTTCTATGTTGTATGTTAACATTATTCTGCATACTGTATATTATCATTCTGTATTGATTTCCTCTCTATTTAGATGTCATATTATGAATCCATAATGTTATATATATATATATATATATATATATATATATATATATATATATATATATATATATATGTGATTAAATTTGATTATTTTATTTTATGCTTTACTCTTTGTAGGATGTGTTTTGGTAATTTTTATACGCTGCGCTTGTCATGCGGCATTTTTTTTGTTTTTGTTTACACATTTTCGGAGAAGACGCTTGCCCGCGCCACATGACTGAGGAGTATCAAGGAATGGATTTGTGTTGGTCTGATTTCCTTTTGAAGCTATTGACACTACCTGATATTGACCATAACAGCATCTTTCTGTTATTGTGCTGATTTCTATTAACTGAACATGTTTGCCCTGCGTGTCAAGATATGGTTTGGTGAATTCAAGCTGAAGAGATGGGAGGTCTCATTGTTGTAAGTAAATAATATGTGCTGTTTCTCTTCTATTTATTATTTTTGTTATGATTATTCTAAATTTTGATTACTGTGATATGTTGATTGTGTAACTTTGGTTCTCATTTATAGATGAATGCATATTGTATTGTGGACATTATTCTAGTGGAGGAAATGTTTGTTTTGTTTCTTGAGCAAAAGGAATATGCAAATAGTCAAATGGAAATGCTTTGATTTGAAGTATCTGTTTATTACATTTGAACCATTGAGTTAACTGCTTTTTTTGGGATGAATTTACTGTTTTGAATTACTTTGATATCTTATTTGTATTTGCAGGTTGGATCATAAATAAAGTACTGTGCATGCAATACATGTCTCCATTGTCCCATCTCCTAGTAGAAATCACAAAACAATCCAGCAACAGACCAACATGGGCAGAACTCAAGAATGTGAAACTGGCTGGGATGACGAGAAAACCCTCAGAAAACAACGAGGCATCGCCAAAGGATGCTTTACCACAAAAGTAAGAGTGTTCCTTGACTGTAAAGAGAAAAATGAACCTTTAGAAGTGTTAGGTGCAGTTTTTAATGAAATTTGTGAAAATTTCAAAAGAGTAGAAATTATAAATGAACGTCTGCTTCAAGTAGTTGATGATGATAAACAAATTAGTGAACATCTGAATTATATATGTGAAATAGAAAAGATCAAGTGTGATATCCATTCAGCATTGGTGTTGTTAAAGATTGAAACACAGAAACTTGCTCCACAGTCTGATAGTTCATGTAGTATACTTGTTAAGAAAGTAGATCCTCCAGTTTTTTATGGCAATGTCCGAGAGTTCCCAACTTTCATGAAAGATTACACACGCTTGGTGATAGCCCGTCATGGGAGAGATCCATTTATACTGAGAAGATCTTTACAAGGAAAGGCTAAAGAAATTGTAGGGGGTTTAGATGAATTTGATCAGATGTGGGATAGGCTGAAAGAACGGTTTGGTTCCACTTCAAAGGTTGTGGATGCTGTTTTGGCTGAAATTAGTATTTTAATGCCAGTCCCTGAAGGTAATACTCGGAAGTTACGTGAGGTAATAAATGTTGTTGAGCGAGCATGGTTAGACTTAAAGAAAATAGACAGAGCAAATGAAATAGAGAATTCTACTGTAGTAACTAAAATTGAAAGATTACTTCCTAATAGTTTAAAAAGGGAATGGACTCATAAAGCTCAAGCCTTAAGTGACCAAGAGAGGTTTCAGAGTCTTGTAAAATTTTTGACTGGAGAACGTCAGGTTATAGAGTACATGGAAGATGAATCTAGGACGGCAGGGATGAGCACTAAGGCAGCCATTCATTATGTTACTAATGGTGAAGGTGAAGAAAATGTAGATAATCTGACTAGCAATCACCAAATTGGCTCAGAATCAGGAAGTTTGTCAGAAGCAAATGCTAGACTGTTTTGCCAATCTGTCACAGGCAATGGTAAATCTAGCAAATAGAAGTCAGTTTGGTAGTGAAACGAAGGGACCGAATATAAACAGCAAGATGAAGAACAAAAGGTGCTGGTTTCATGGAACTGATTCTCATGAAATTGGTAGATGTGCAACTTTTAGTAACTTAGACGATACTCTGAAACTAGACAATATGAAAAAAATGGGCATTTGTTTTGTTTGTCTGGAACCCTCCCATATCAGCAGAGACTGTGAAAGGAAAATTCTTTGTAATGTTCAAATAGGAAATAATAAGACGTGGAAAACTGCACCATCCTTCCGTGCATTCTGTGTTCAACAAGAACTTACATATTGTTCAAGCTTCGAGTAACCTTATGGATAGAGAAGGTGTTTTGTTAATGATAAGTAAAATTAGTAGTGGCTCATATAACTTGTCTACACTTTTTGATGCTGGTAGCAATTTAACTATGATCACCCATGCAGCAGCCAAGAAATTGGGCCTTAAGGGTTCGGAAATATCCCTAAGTCTTACCAAAATAGGGAATCAAAAGGAGAGAGTAGAGAGCAAAATATATAATGTTCCTTTGATTGATAATAATGGTAAACAATGGTTGGTGGAGGCTGTTGGCTTTAATGATATCACTTCAGAAATTAAGGATGTGGATATGACGGAAATTGCTCGTATTTTGGGGGTTAATCCTAATCAGATTCAAAGACCTAGTGGCAAAATTGATTTGCTTATTGGATTAGATTACTGCGTGCTCATACCAAAAGTGGTAAAACCAGTTGGAAATTTACAGCTTATGCATAATAATTTTGGTTACTGTATCAGAGGTTATCTAGGTCCTTTGCCCCATAACAGTGATCAGCTACATGCAAAGGTAAATCACATTGCTTGTTTACAGTCTGATGAATACTTGATCAAATCCAAGAAAAATATTGGTAGAATGATGGAATGCTTTTTCATGAGTGAAGAACTAGGTATAGCATGCTCTCCGAAGTGTGGAGGGTGTCGTTGTGGCAAGTGTTCTCTGAAAGGCCATATGACGCTGAAGGAAGAAAAGGAACTGAAACTGATTGAGGATGGATTGAATTATGATGAGCTTAACCAATGTTGGGTGGCTGACTATCCATGGATCAGAAATCCTAGTGAATTACCAAATAAATAAGCTTGGCTGTGAATACTCACAAAGGTATAATGAACAAATACAGGACATGGTTAAAAGAGGGGTAGCTCGTAAGATGTCGGACGAAGAGATAATCTTGTATAAAGGGCCAGTGTTTTACCTTCCTCATCATGAAGTTCTTAGATCCGATTCAAAGTCAACACCAATGAGAATTGTATTTGATTCTTCAGCGCCTTATATGGGATTTGCATTAAATGATTTTCTAGCTAAGGGACCCGATTGCCTTAATAATATTTTAGGCATACTTCTCAGATTCCGTCAAGGGCTTATTGGGCTTATAGGAGACATTAAGAAAATGTACAATTCAGTTAAGATAGGCCATTTCGATCAGAATTGCCATAGATTCTTGTGGAGAGAAATGAATACGGAAAGAAGTCCAAGTCGTTATGCTTTAACGACAGTTACTTTTGGTGATAAACCTGGAGGAGCGATTGCAATGGTTGCTTTACGTAAGACAGCAGAAATGTGTAAGAATTACCCAGAAGCTACCAAACTGATTGAAAGGGACTCTTATGTAGATGACTTATTGGCTAGTGTGGATAGCCATGAGGCAGCCAAGACCATAATGAATGACATTGGTCGTGTATTAAGCAAAGGAGGTTTTCAGATAAAACAGTGGGTGATGTCGGGTGGTAATAATTGTGTAAACTCCTGTTCAAGCATTATAGAAACTAATACTGAAAAGGTCCTGGGGTTGAATTGGGATCCTGAATCTGATTTATTTTTCTTTGTAGTACGTATAAATTTTTCTAAGAGAATCAGAAAATTGCGTACTGCACCTGATCTTACAAAAGATAAGCTTGAAAATGAATTACCAGAGAAATTGACACGAAGGATGATACTTAGTCAGGTATCAAGTATTTACGATCCATTGGGGTTAATTGCTCCTTTCACGCTGAAGGCTAAGCTCTTGATGAGGGAGCTTGTATTAGACCTTGGTAACTGTGACAAGAAACTTGGTTG